GAGAACTTGTTGCTTTGGCCTGGTCTGTCTGTCTGTCCGTTTTGCTAAATGTCTGTCCGTCTGTCTGTCCATAATTTTGTCTGCCTGTTCTATAGATGTCTTGTTATACATTTTAATTTAAACACATATTCGCATATACGTTTGTAAGTGCCTGTATTTGGTTGTTTTTTTTTTTTTTTTTGCTTTCAATCAGTGGGATTTCCTTTTAACCGCCCCCAACCAACCCTCTCAGCGGCCCCCACACAAATCGAAGGAATTAAAAAGTAATAAATGTATTTTTGCAAAAATACAATATAAAAAATAAAAATAAAACATACAATATTTTGTAGAGTAACGTGTGCCACTGTTAAGCACATTTGTTTTAATTTTTCTGTATATATTTTTTTTTTGTTGCTTTAAGTAATTGAAATCAGCACAAATCAAACGTAAATGTGTATGTCATGAGATTTGTTTTTTGGTTTATTTATATTTCTTTCAATATTTAGTGGGGAATTCCTTATATGATGAAAATTCAAAAAATAGAAAACATTTTTGCACACCCCACTTTGCCATATACTCCTTGTCGCTTTTGCTAAAACGTTTGGCGCTTGAGCACAGCAGCACCTTGAATTTTGAAATTTTGTTCATTAGTTTATCACTAATGGACTTTTCTACATAAATTAATTAAATATTTCGCTTAATTGGTTTTTAATAATTTCATGGTGTTGAAAATTAATAAATTATTATGAATATTATTTATATGTACATTTTGCACTCGCCTTAGGTGACAATTTTTGTGGAAAAAACCTTCGCATTTGTGCACAATTTTTCTATCCAAAACAAAGTCCAAAAATAAATGGATTTTTTTTATTATTAGTTTAGAAAATGTTTAAAAATAAAAGCAGATTTTTTTCTAATTTAATACAATGAAATCAAAAGTTATAGAAACAATCTATTCCATGTTTATAATAAATCTTCCGACTTTCTGAATTTACTTAAAGATGTCCGCAAGACCTCTTGTCTTTTAATATTTTCCATTAACATTTCGATCACTATCATCGAATAACTTTACAAAGTTCTTTACAGTTTTCCTGAGTTTTTCTTCAAAAGTAATGTCTTTTAAGATTTACATGTATCGGTCCATATTTCATCATATCTTCCGCCCAAATGTGCTCCTGGTAGTGCTTAAAATATAGGTATAGAAATGCTTAATTCAGAATACTTAATTGGTGGAAGCTGTATAGAAAATAGAAAATTTCAAGTATATTTGAAGTTCCTTTACATTAAATAGCGTCCAATAGGTCCTCATAGATTTTTGGTTCCTCACAAGGGGTTCTTCAAATAAAAAACATACAGCTGTCAAGTTTCTGTCTATAAAACTGAATATAATTTGGAGAAAATTAGGATGTTTGTGAGAACATGGTCAACAACGAAATTTATATTCTACGTTCATTGGATTTGAGGAGTCATTCGATATCTTAGACCTTTGCTTTCAAAAGCATTCCTGTCCATTACTCTTTAACATAATGATGGACATTACAATGAGTCGCACAGTGGTAGCCAATCGTGGTATTACATTGGTTATACGATATTGAGTACGATAACGATAAATACCTTATTATGAACAATAATATTAAAGAGGATGTGGACCTATTCTGCTATCTTGACTCTATTCAAGGTTCATGCTCAAATATTACGTCTATTTGGGTCAAAACCGTTAGCCGATAAAATACGGAAGTGGAACCAGTAAAAAGACTAGTCCTTTGATCAGTCGAAAGACTAGTCTATAAAATAGTCAATATTCAAGTTCATAGAATAGTAAGTAGAAAAACCCTTGACCAGACCATTTATCAGTCTGTATACTATTAATAGTCTTGTCAATAGACGGGTCCATAGACCAGTCAAGAAAGTAGTACACAGACCAGTCGATAGAATAGACCCTAGGATAGCCAATGGATTCAATAGGCTAGTCCTAGATTAATAATCTAGTTAATGTACTAATCTATAGACAATTCAATAGACCATTTAAAAGACTAGTCCATAGAATAGTCCATAGACTAGTTATTGGTTTACTCCAAGCACTACTGTATCGTAAAGGTTTTAGGTTTCAGTATTCTCAACTGCTACAAATTGAGAATACTGATAACAGTTAAGAAGGTCCAAGTGCTTTACGTAAACACCTGCCCTGAGGGTCTTACTTCAGGGTGGTCTTTTTCGTCCACTGGGTAGCCTTGAGAACGATCTACCATCGCCCCTTCAATCTTCAATGAAGAAATCAGGTGGCAATTTTTGTACATGGCTAAGCCGGTCCATGTACAAGCACTTTGCAGAAGTACTCGAGCTATCTAATCTCTTGCCATAGTAGCCCCATTGGGAAGGACAGTTGTCATGAGCAAGCTCAATCTAAGCCCGACAAAAGAAAAGGCAATCACTGGTTAGAGTCAATAGAAGGAGTGGACTCAACATCAGGTATAAACACTCTATTGATGTTATGAGGAATGCTCATGTCCCTACAAAACATTCTCATCATCTAAAGATTCACCCCAGTGCATTCCTGGACCTCTTAAAGTCGCCCAACCACACTACTGAGATGGCTTCTGTTGGTTTGGCAACATCACCTAGAGACGTATTTGGTAGCCCGAAATACCTACCCAAGATAATATATCAGCATCCCTCTTCATGAACCCATCTGTAACAAAGGATGTAAAAATTTCCAAAGTCAACTGAACCCAACAATTGCCTTTACAAATAGTCGCGTAGCATGAATCAATATATCCTGTTGAGATTGCAACAGCACCGAGAAACTTCCCCGATGCGTAAAAAGGCATACTAAATCAGTACTAGTCTCCAACGTATAGAAACTTTCCCAATCTTTTAGTAATGTTTGCATCAGTTCCATTCCCTGATCTTAAAAATCTTTCTACTGAACGCTTAACTGACAATTCCCCTGCATATACCGGCTCTCTACTACACGACCGGTAAGAAATACCGATCAGGTTCAGGAATCCAGCATATGCTGCTCTGTACACAGATCTGTGTCATTTGAATAGAGAATTAGCCAACCCATTATATATAGGGTATATCAGCCCTTAAACCAACAATTTCTTCCCGCGAATATCTACCACAGCCACTACGTGGATCCCGAAGAAACCTCAACCTCAAACTGAAAAGCCAGTTCAAGTCCAGTGGAAAACTGGCCACCCGTAGTAACCCCATGTCAAATCATACGAAGGACTAGCCGAGGAGTGAAGTGACATCACCAGTTTATAGTCCCGGCAGACTAGAAGTATTGGCATTGGCCAAGATGCGGTCTATCATCAAGGAAACACGGCGGGGGGATGATAACATAACCGGTTGTTATTTGTGTTAATGCAGATCCTGTTTGCTAGAATAATAGACTCTCTGAGGAAGAAATAAATGTTCGGGTTTTAAACTATAACGCCATGAAAATGGAGCTATTTGGAAATTTAGAAAACGGTTTTTGAACTCAGCGGTTGGAAATATATAGGAATCAGATATTTTTATTTAAAAAAATACTTTTTCAGAGTTGTGTAGTATTATTTGATAAGCTCATGCTATTCAAAATGTTCAACAATATATTTCTAAAGTAGTTAAAGGTCTCCGAGCTTTGGTGGATCGAAGTTTTGAAACTTTAAACAACTATAACTTGCACCACATCTATCGGAAATGGTCAACATAAGAATAAATTGTTATTACGATTTAAAAATTTGTTTTCGAAATAACTACCTCGTATCCAAACGTTTTCTAAAAGGTTCAGAAATTATATCGGAAGTGAATAAATGTATTTTTAAATTTTAATCTTCTTGGATCTAATATTACTGCACAAAATTTTAGCAAAAGGCTTTCTTTATAAACTTTAAATTATACTCCGATTTGACTGAATGTTTTACAGCTGAGCAAGATCCACATACATTCCAAAAAGGAAGTAAATTAAAATTTTTTTAATTTCACTTTTAGAATATGAAAATTCTTCAATCCTTTCATTTTGCAGTTTGGACGGTCCGATTTAGTTTCCTTTAATTTGGAATTGTATCCCATTCCAACTATTAATTGTTTTGTTTTATTAAAAATCCATTGTTTTTTGTCAAATCACACAAGAAGTTAACCATCTAAACCTTAAAAATAAACACTTTATTATAATGGTCCAATTATTTTCAGAGTCCCAGAAAACCCAATTATTCTTTTAATTGGGCTAAGCGACTAGAAAACAGAAACAAAATTAAAAAAATATTTCTTTGTATAAGTGAATTAAACAAATTTTTTTTTTATAGCGAATTTTCCGCAAAGTAAATACAAGAAACAAACAAATAAACTGAAAATTTCAGTTTTTTCTGTGTTCACCTACACACACAAATTAAAAAAGAAAATACTTGCAAAGAAACTGAACCGATCGGATACGAAAATGCGTACGTATAGTTTTTTTGTTAATATCAAACCAATCCATTCATATATACAACAAAAGCAACAAATTCAGAAAATATTCATATATTTTTGGCAATGATAACGACGAATGCGAAGACGTCGGCGATGCCGCATAGATATATATATTTGTTGGTGGGACTGGTCCGTTTAATTGTTATAGTTGTTGTTGTTGCTGCTGCTGCCACAAAAATATAGACAAACGTCGTGTGCAAAGCATTTATTTTTTTAAATATTATTTTGAAAATGTGTGTGAAAATTGAAAAGAAACTGTGTTGTTTTCTCGATTCTGTGACGCTGACAGGCAAAATAATAAAAAACAAGAAGAAGCAAAAGCAGCAGAAGAAAGAAAATTAAAAAGTTTTTGAGACTAGAACTAAATAAAAGTATTTTCAGTTTGAGAAATTTCATCAAACGTTACGGATCGCTCACATTTAAAACGTAAGAAAACGTTAGAGATTTTTTTTGTAAAAAAATATATTTCTAAATTGAAAACGAAATTATAAAACGGAATTTTTTTATTGAAAAAAAAGTATAAAATAAAATAATTAATAATTTGTTTTTTCCCGTTTAAATTTTAGGTGAACAACGGTTCGAATCATTATCATCAAACGATAACTGATTACGCTAAACCCAATAAGGGCACTTCACACTTGACTCAGACCATAACTGAGACTACAACTTCTACCCTAGTAGAAGATAATCAACCGGATCAATTGGATTCTATGCTCGGTAGTTTACAAGCCAATATGAATCGTCAAGGTGTCAATACTGTACAAAAGGGCTGCTGCAATGCCTGCGAAAAACCCATTGTGGGACAAGTCATCACTGCTTTGGGCAAAACCTGGCATCCAGAGCACTTCACTTGCAATCACTGCAACCAAGAATTGGGCACACGCAACTTCTTTGAACGCGATGGCTTCCCCTACTGTGAACCCGATTATCACAATCTCTTCAGTCCTCGCTGTGCCTACTGTAATGGTGCCATTTTGGATGTAAGATATTATAGATTTTTCCTTAAACTAAGATTTTAAATTAATATTTGTTTTCTATTTTTCTAACTAAAGAAATGTGTAACTGCTTTGGACAAGACCTGGCACACAGAACATTTCTTCTGTGCCCAATGTGGCCAACAATTCGGTGAAGATGGCTTCCATGAACGTGATGGCAAACCCTATTGCCGCAACGATTACTTTGAAATGTTTGCACCCAAGTGCAATGGCTGCAATCGTGCCATTATGGAAAATTACATTTCTGCCTTGAACTCTCAATGGCATCCCGATTGCTTTGTCTGCCGGGTAAGTTTAATCTCTTTAATTTGATTTGTTTTTTATTAGAAAATGTTAAATTTGGAATTTTATTTGACATTTTTTTGTATCATTTCCTTAAATTCTAATTTTCTAGGATTGCAAAAAAGCCGTCAGAGGTAAATCTTTCTATGCCATGGAAGGCAAACCAGTTTGTCCAACCTGCGTGGGTGTTGATGAGGAAGAATAAATTTAAAATAGAATTTCATTGTTATTAAAGTTCGAAAGAAAAGAAACTTATATCAACGCGTTTCGTTTGTTTTTTTATAAATAACTATAAACATTTAAGATTTTTTCAAAAAAAAAATCTTTTTATTGAAATCGGCAGCTATTTTTGTTGGCATTTTTTTTCGAAATATACATTTAAAACCAACAACACAATATACACCATACACTACACTAAACACCAAAATACAAAAATACATAAAAAAAAACAAACACACGCGCCTACACACCACAACCAACTAAAACAACACAACAACAGCAACAATTTTAAACTTAAAACAAAAAAAATACCAGCAAAAGTTTTTAGAAAATGAAACAAGAAATTCTATTTTATTTTAAAAGAAATCTTCAACTCTTCAACACAAACAACATTTGGAACAACTTGGCATAACAATTAAGTTAATTTTATCTAAAATTAACCAACAACAACAACAACAACAACAACATCCCAACACCCTTTTTAAACACCAAACTTTTGTGTCGACTTTTTCTTTCGCCAAAAAAAGGAAAAAGTATTGACCTCTTGTTTGGTTTAGGGAGAAGAATTTTCAAAATTCTCCTTCCCAACAACAAAAATGGTCTGTTTTTTTGTAAAAGAAAACATGCAAAAATGCCCGCCCCTGTTAAACCCCCCCACCCAATGAGTGTCTTTTTTTACACTTTTTTTATTACAGCTGTTTTGAAATGTTGTCCTGTATTTTCAGAATTTTGAAATTGAATTTCTAAAAACTAATACACTATGAAACAGTTTTATAAAAATTAGGCTTAAGTCTAGGTACTTTTAAAATATTAATTTTTTAATTAAATTATAAACAATATTGTAATATTATTTATTTGTAAATAAATATTAAAAAAATATATAATTAAAAATAAAAAAAAAATTATAAAAAATACTAAAAAATTCAAAAAAAAAAAAAAAAACAACAAACAAACAAAAAACACCAAAAAACCAAAACAAAACATTCTCACATTCATGCTTAATAAAAATTTTTTTTATTAAGACCTTGTCTCGCTGGCGTTACAAAGGTCTTGATGAAATTTTTATTATGTTTCTCGCTTTAGAATCATGACCACTTTAAGGTCAGTGATTTTCTGTTCATCTTCATTTTCATAATCAGGTGTGTCCTTGCACTTGGTTTCTATTTCTAAATTTCTATTTTCATTTCATTCTCCATCATCCACCCCCTTCCCTCTTCCCTCATCTCTCATTTTAACACTCACTCTCTTTTTTCATCTTCATATTTCCCGCGTTAGGTGGGTGTTTTGTTTTGGTTTTTAAATTACATCATTCTTATATTTGTTTATATTTTTTGTTGTTGTTTTTGTTTTAATATATATAAACAATTTTTAATTACAATATTGTTTTCTATAAATTTAAATTAAGTCTATTTGTTTATAAAACTGTTTCATTTCTTCTCTGAGTGGTTTTGTGATTAATTACCAGATTTCAATTGTCTGAGTTGCTGGCTTTTTTCTCTTGTGGTTTCTTGTCCTTGTTCTTTCTGGGGGGATTTGTTATTTCTAAAGATTTTTCAATATTTTGTTGCGCTCGTCAATGTGTCGTCTTTTAATATAAAAATTTATTGAATTTGCTGTTACACCATTTCCAAAATATTAATTTCAGATTGAAACTTTCGATACGGAGTTTTTATACACTACAGGGAAGCGTATAATGCGTTTGTTCTGATGTTCGTAACACTTAAAAATAATCATTCTACATCCATTTTAGTCTGTCCGACCATCTGTCTATCCATATAATCTTGTAGCCAAACTAAAGGTCAACATTTTTAATATAATTCAAACACGTAACACGTATTACTTTTGTTCAAGTGCGAAAGCCTATTGATTTTGGTTACAATTCGGACATTAGATCACCTAACCTCCATACAACCTCCACTTCAAAAATTTTATTAGGATCGGCCTATATTTGATCCTTTCTCTTTCAGAAGTTTAGTTTTTTATTAATAAACTAGCTATACCCAGTGTGCTTCGCTACCCTCATCGTAATGGAATAAAATAAATATCATTATTTTAAATGTATATATATCTGCAATATCAAAAATTCCCCTTTTAGAGAAATTCCAAAAAGTTCCCTTTAAAGAACGAAAAAGTACCAAAAAGTCCCCTTTTATAGATTCTCATTTACTCCGGGCTCTACATGCTTAATTTCATGTTTCTAGGTTAAATTTTATAAAAAATTCAAAAAGTACCAGTCGAAGTACGAAAAAGTACCAAAAAGTCCCCTTTTATAGATTCTCATTTACTCCGGGCTCTACATGCTTAATTTCACGTTTCTAGGTTCAATATTATACAAAAATCCAAAAAATACCTTTTGAAGAAAGAAAAAGTACCAAAAGTCCCCTTTTATAGGTTCTCACTTAATCCATCCTCTACATACTTAATTTCATGTTTCTAGGTTCAATATTATAGGAAATTCAAAAAGTACCTTTTGAAGAACGAAAAAGTACCAAAAAGTCCCCTTTTATAGATTCTCATTTACTCCGGGCTCTACATGCTTAATTTCATGTTTCTAGGTTCAATATTATAGAAAATTCAAAAAGTTCCCTTTAAAGAACGAAAAAGTACCAAAAAGTCCCCTTTTATAGATTCTCATTTACTCCGGGCTCTACATGCTTAATTTCATGTTTCTAGGTTAAATTTTATAGAAAACTTAAAAAGTACCAGTCGAAGTACGAAAAAGTACCAAAAAGTCCCCTTTTATAGATTCTCATTTACTCCGGGCTCTACATGCTTAATTTCATGCTTCTAGGTTTAATTTTAAAGAAAACTCAAAAAAATACCTGTGTAGAACGAAAAAGTACCGAAAAGTCCCTTTATTATTAATTTCATGTTTCGATTTCAATATCAAAGAAAACTCAAAAAGTAACAGATGGAGAATGAAAAAGTACCAAAAAATATCACTTGGTACCGGGGTTCCAAATAACACCTCATTAGCATATTTAGTGTTTCTAAATCTAAAAATTTTATCTAAATTGGATCATTGTTTTTGAATAAAATCAAATTTCCCGTTTTTACCCCTTTTGGTACTTTTTTCTACCCATTAACGAAATAAAAATTCTATTCCAAAATGTTGCAACATCGTAGTGGGAGCCCGTTATTATGTATTTATATGTATAAGTTAATAAGCCAAAATCAATATTTTATGAAAAAAGTACCAAAAATAGGTACAATTTTCACCCCTTAAACATCCGAATAACCAAAAAGTACTAAATTTATATTTTTATTTTTTCGACAAGTTATGAAGGATTCAAAAATATTGTTTGAATGTTCACTGGTTTAAAAGATACATGGGATGCAAAAAAAAGTACCAGACACCTGTCCGCTTATTTTTTAAATGAACGACGATAAGCTTTAAACTATTTTTGTATCTTTTCTAGTTTAGGAGATATGAGGTTACCGAATTTACCCGTTTTTACCCTTTTTTACCCCCTAAACATTCGAATTTCCAAAAATCCCGTCTTAGTGGATCTATTTGGTGGGAGACCAACCCCCTGTCCAAATTTCAGCTCTTTAGCTTTAACCGTTTAGGCTGTGCGATGATGAATCAGTCAGTCAGTCAGTCAGTCAGTAACGTTAGAATTTTATATATATAGATAAATAGAAGATTGCTTAAATTATATATAAATGTATAATGTTCAGAAGGATTGATAAGAGTTATGCACCATAAACAGGTGCACATACACTCGGAGACCATAAGGTCTATTTTGATTCCCTTCATAGAGAGTGAAGCTCCAAAGACAGAGAAACAAAAACTCTAGAAGATAACAAGAAAGAAGGAAATAGGTAGAGAGGAAACATATTTATTCTCAAGGCGTTTCAACCCAGAAGATGTACCAAGTCAATACCCTAAAGAAAGAAATGTGAAAGAATCTTAGTCTCCCTAAAAAATGACAAATTCCCTTGATAAAACCTAGTAAACTGCGAGGGCTAAGTTCCCCTTCATAAAGAAGAAAGCTCCTAAGACGGAGAAACAAAAACTCTAGAAGAAAACAACAAAGAAAGAAAATAGGTAGTGAGGAGAGATGAATGGTCTATTCTCAAGGGGTTTTAATCCAAAAGACCTGACAAGTAGATTCCCTATAAGAGAATTTTAGTCTCCCTAAGAAATTACTAATTCCCTTGATAAAACCTAGTAGATTGCGAGGGCTAAGTCCCGGGATTTCTCCAGCCATTTCAACTTGAGAATGTATATTCTAGGACTGTACCAATAATATGCTTGATCTTTTCTAATTCCTCTGCATCCACGCTTAACCTGTATTGAGCAAAGCCCCATTAACATACTTATTCCTGGGCGTAGATCCTTATAATTTTCCACTCAGTGTTCCTAAGTAATGTAATATCTTGAATAAAATCGCTCCAAAAATATTAGGATCTATTTTTCGGCCAGAAACCTGGCAACGACAAAGAAAATGTTCCAGACTACTCTCTTCTCATGCTCTACATTCCACTGAATTCTTTAGTTACCTTCCCCTCCACCTTTCATCTGAATCTGTTAGTCCAATTTTGTGTAGTTGTGCTTGAAGTCATGCATTTCCACTCAAAATATGCAACATCATACTAATCTTGGACATTCTCATTTCGAGGTGGCTATTCCTCTTGAGTTACCTTCCCCTCCACCTTTCATCTGAATCTGTTAGTCCAATTGTGTGTAGTTGTGCTTGAAATCATGCATTTCCACTCAAAATATGCAACATCATACTAATCTTGGACATACTCATTTTGAGGTGGCTATTCCTCCTCCTCTC